GATATTGAGATAACAAAACAAGACCACAATTGACGTAAACAATTGGCATGAACAATTATGAGGATTGCAATATTACTATATACATTCGTATGGTGACTATATATAGTCATCGTTTTATTGATCTCGTTCTAACATTGCATGTCACGTGATTACTTACATGCACTTAGGTTTTTCTTGACAACCTTATATCAACACCCTAACTAAGCGTGAATCGAATCCAAATGATCTGAGATTTTACGTCTGTATTATAATCTTGGATCCATAGTTACGTCTGTATTCTAAGAACACTGCACACAATAACATCAATGTATCATACTATCATCAGCATGTTGCCATGTATGAATAAGCAAGCGAAGATTGCAATAAACTCACTTTTAATGAAACTTGCAGATGATGAGGACCATCCCTTTGCTCAGGTTCCGCCAGAATAGGCTGCTTTCCTCTAGAATCCTCTATTGCTTGATCATCCACATTTTTTATTTCTGCTCCCTGCTGATTACTATGTGTTAAATACGGGTTTGGGCCGCTTCCGCAATAATATGGGAGATGTTTTATCAGTAAATATACATGACACTTAAAAATGCACCCAGTTGCCGATACACTCCATGTATATTTTTTCGGTCATTTGAATTTCTTGCTCGCTTCTAAATCTAATATATATTGATTTAAATGAGTGAAATAGGCATACAATGAGCAAAGTATTCCCTTGTGCTCTTAATAGAGGTTTTGAATAGGATCGTTTTTAGTACATTTATGGAACAATGTGATCACTAACTAGTAAGCTGGTTAAAAATAAAATCATTGATAACAAATTTATATACTCATTTTTATATGTTATATTTGGGTGTTTCTATCATATTTTCTATATATATATTTAATCTTTTAGAGCTATTTTTCTTTATATTTCAATATTGCTCTCCGCGTGCTTTCTTTATTTGTTTTGTAGGATTTATGCCTAGAAGAGCGCATTTGCAAGCTAAGTTGAGTTAGGAGCATCTAGAAGATTATGAGTTTGACATCATATGATCACATTCCAAGCTTGAAGTTGCATTTGCATGAGCATAGTGTGGAAATTGCTTAGCCTTGGCCTGGTCGTGGCTTGTTGCATTAAGCCTTGGGTTGGTCGTGGCTCCTCCGTTTCTGCTCAAGAAAAATACACCAATGGAGTAGACACCACGGGTAGGCCGTGGCTCGACTTCAATGGCCACGGGCAGGTTGTGGCTAGCTTCAATGCGGCGTTTTGGATAAGTTTTTGCCGACTTTGAAGACTCCTAATTCCAATTTACTTCCTTAATGCTAATGCTTATATATAGCTTATCTTTAAGGGTTAATAAAGGGGGTTCTGCCGCAAGCAACCATCCACTTGATTAGAAATTTTAGAGTTTGTTATCCTTATTTAATCTTTTAATTATGTTTGAGTAGTATTTTATTTTAGGGTTAGGTTGAACCCTAGCCATGATTGATACTTGATTTATTCTTTTAAATTCTCAATTAGTTGTTTATATAGTTCATGCTTAATTGATTGTGCTTATGCCAATACTAGATTAGGGATTGTTATTGTTATTATTCCATTGTTTTGACTGCAACGGAAGTTGGGTTTTGATGGATTTGAATAGATTAATTAAGGGTATGAAATTCTCCACGGAAGTAGGTAGAATGGATTGTTAGAAAGTTAGATTGCCGGAATTAATGTCTTTAATTTGCATGATTCCACGGAAGTAGGTTTGATTGTTAATTAAGGAAGTCATTGACAACTCGGGAGAGATCTTTGGTATTTTATAGGGTGTGCCTTTCCTTGTGAACATATAATTGATTGATTGGGGTAAGAATTTGTCTTGTATTGATTATGCTAGTGGTGATACTTAATTCTAGATGTTTTTATTATTTGATTTTCTTTTGTTAGTAATAGTATAATAATTCCAACCCAATATTTATTTGACTCAACTATTATTATTCATAGCAACACAATATTGATAATACCTTCTCTGTAGGATCGACCCTGACTTACCCTACTACATATTAGGAGGATTAGTTAGTCTTTTATTATTATTTTTGTGGGTGTGCGACCGCCAATTAATCATATTACGCATGAAAACTTAAGAAAATTCGGACAAAACTTGAAACTAGATATATTTGGCATCCTGGCGGCAATCTGTAGGATTTGTTTGTGACGTTAACAACATCAATTCTTGTAAAGAGTGTATTGTTAAAAAAAAATGATACAGTACATCATATACTTTTATAATATATATTAAGAACTTTTTTTAACAAAACTTAAGTTGAGGAAGTTATTTGGACGTACAATGAGGTAATAAGTCTAGAAAACAGCTAACACTTTGTGCAATATTTGATTTATAAAAGATATACCTATGAAGTATTTTTGTCCTTTAAGACTACTACTTGTATGAAGATGAAAGTACTTTCTTAACATCGATCGACGTCTGATATTATCGTGCAGCATTGAAATAATAGCATTCTAGAAAAACTTATTTAATCAACATTTAATTATCTATAAAGGACTACATATATATATATATATATTATTAGTATTAGACATTTAATTTCTCTTTATAAGTAATATTAGTACTCTACGATCCTAGCTAAGCATGCAGACTAACCTCATGAGGAAGTGTATGGATGGGTGTGGGACCACACCCTTCTTGAAACAAATCATATTCTTTTTTATATGGAGCCTCCAAGAGAAAATACTCGGGTTCGGGTGTTGCTAATACAGGTTCGGGTTGTGGCAGGGGAACTTCAGAAAGATATTGGTCAATATCATCAAGTAATAATGACTGATGATGATCATGAGGATGACCCCCTAAGTTTTCAAGGGACATCATAGTAATACTATTGTCTTTGAAAGTTTCGAAGGAATAAGGTGTCATACTTAGTACTGCTGGTTTGATCTTTCATTTTGTCGAAGAGTTATACAACTCCTTATATATACAATCCAATGGCTCATATTCCTAGTTCATGCACTAGCCTAAGTTTTAATTTTATATAGTATATATTGATTATACGTAATGTATTGTGTTACATATATTGCCACTTTCTACCGCCTTTAATTTGGATTTTATTATGCATCATATTTGAGGAATTGCCAGAATTTGCCACTTGTATTCTCGGTAATGCAACATGACTATGATAAAATTGATAAAAATTGTTCAGAAAATGATGATGATTTTTTTTTTTTTTTTGGTAAGATTGTTTGCGAGGTGATAACAGAATCTATGATTCCAATTTCCAAATTCAATTGCAGTGGTATACATTGTGGAATCCTATGAAATAACCTCTCACGGACGCTCCCACACACGTGAAAAAAAATTTTTGATTCGGGCTCTATTCTGTTCACCTAATTACTTTTGAAAGTGCCAAGTTTTTTGCTAGGATTTTCCCTCTAAGTTTTTCCTAGTTTTTTGCTAGGGTTTTTCCAGTTTTTTTTTGGGGTTTTCCTTCAATCTTCTCCCGTTCTCCCTTTTTCCTCCTTCATCTTTCTCTCCTTGATCTCCATTGTGATTATTGGTAGGGGCTATCACTGGTTCCTTGATCAGTGGTAAGCCCCAAAATCTCTTTTTAATCGCTTATAATAATAGATCCCATCCTTACGATGGTCTTGATCAGTGTGAGATGATTTCTCTTTTGTCATCGGAAGTTCTAATTTTTTTATGGTGGTTCGTGCGGCGTTGAATCAGTTGTCAGATCAACGACTACAATTAATTGAATCAGGTTTTGTTCAATTCAAAAACTATCAAAAATCGCAAGGCCCCCTTGAAGAAGAAGGTTGCAGAGGACAGCGATTCAAAAGACGAGGGTATTCATCAATGTCAAATCTCACTCGCAATTGTAGTTCTACATAATTAGAATTGTTACCTGATTAAATTTTCATTGTATTTATCGTTTCTGATCTCTTTTGTAGATGTCGTATGACTTCTTATTAATGAATTGATCTTCTCTTCAATAAAAGAAAAAAAAAATTACTTTTGAAAAAAATTATTAAATAAAATTAGATTAAGGTAAATAAATTCTCATGACCAAGTAATAAAAATTCAAGAAAAAAAAAATGCAAAATTGGGTCAATAAGGTAGTACTCTACGGTCATAATGCACAAAAATATAAAATAGTACTGTATGTTAAAAGATTCACTACGGTCTTAATATAATATAGTACAGTACTACGAGTATTAAATTTAAAACTATATTATAGTACTGTATGTTAAAAGATTCACCTGAATCAAAAATGCATTGGTTTACATAATATAACATTAATCCACTAAAAACCACGGAGTAATGTGGAAACTTTATTAGTATAATTTAACATCCTAAACTAACTCGAACTAAGAAATAATTTGATGAATAATGCACAAACCGACTCGGAGCTTGGTCTAACAAATGTACACCACCTTTTTATACAAGAAAATGAGGATAAGATTTTCTCAAGTTTCAACTATTGCATTGTAGAAGACACTTCAAGTGCATGAAGTGATAGAAATATATCTTATTTGATATTTATTAACCCGATATATAGTACTTCAAAATCGTCCCATGCATCCAATACGGAGTATTACTTATGGAGTAACATGGAATATTATATATACTGATCAATCAACTTTAGCTGGAAGAAGAGAATGAATATTTTTTTATAATGTGAATCGAAATACATGTGAAATCATGCTAACTATCAATTAGTCTGTCTCTGGTGAATGTCAACTAGCTAGTTTAATTGGTTAAAGTAACAAAAGTATCAAATTAAATTCAGTCTAAATCATTGTCCTTGAGTTTCGCTCGACAGAGTCTACACTATAAAAATAAATTAGTTTGTGCTTAGCTTTTCTAGCTCATCACTAGAGCCAACTAGGAAATGAACTACGTTTGGCAAAATCCTTGATTGCAAACAATAATCTTACAATCTTACTAATGAAAGCATATTTTTTTCAGGTCTATTAACATATGACAAGCAATTCAATCAAACAAATACATATAAATATTTAATATCCACGATAATACTACTGTAATATTACAAAAAAACACATACGAATTAGTAAACCTTACATGAAATACTATTTTTAAAATTAACTACTTGCACACTCATGCATGCATATAAAACGAAAGCAAAAATGTTGATCATGATGTGCAACAAATTGCACCCCCATGCTATTGTTGTGGACTGTGGTATAAGACTATAAGTATAACATTACGTCCGTAGGTGGGTATGTTCGTTGTATCAAAATTTACGGCACGAATTTGTATACTTGTACATAGCAGGCGACATCATAACTGGCATAAATGTTGGACCATATTGAATCTGATGGAGCCGCCTCTTTTCATTCCATTCCAATATCATCTGTGTCAAATTATGGGAAAATCCGATTAAAATGATACTTAGCTAGCTAGCCTTAGCTTACTTGAACAACCTCGTCACCTCGTGACAGTTATAAGTAAGAGTAGCCTAGAAAATTATACAATATCGTTGTCCAAAAAAAAAAAAAAAAATATTCAATAGGCAAATGAGAATTTTGAGGAGCAAAGGGAGTAATTAAGTTTATATGCTATCAATTCATAATAATATAAAGATACTTTTGTCCACATTCAAAATTATAAATTTATAATTGATATTTATGAGTGCCATCAAAACTATGTATATTCTTGAAGACAAAGTTGCATTGTCATAAGTCCTCCTGACTACAGTAATAAATAACATTATTAATTATTGGTATGGAGTATAATTATAGATTTATATAAAATATAATTTTATTTTATTTTAACAAAGATTTTTATAAAATATTGATAATCATTATCTCCGTTTATTATTATCCGGCAAACAAGTTATTACGAGTAATACTTACAAAATGAAATGAATTAAAGCGATAGGATAAAAGGGGAAAAGAAAGACTATTTCAGAGAATGCAAAAGGATAACATCGTTACAAGCTACCAGGCCACGGAGTAAAAATACCTCATTTTGGAGCTTTAAGGATTTGATATACTCAGCTGCATCATCAAGGATGGATGCGTGGTCTTTCTGCAACATTGTATGTAGCAATTAGCAACATTATTTTTTTAACCTTGACTTTCATAATTAAATAGGCAAAAAATAATAATGCAAGATCTTGTTACATATATAGTACTTATATATCAAAATAATAACTTTTTGAGGATAAATTTATCCAAATATGTATAAAAAGTTGATATTATGATTAGTGTGATTTTACACATCGAGACGAGTTAAACATGACAACACATGAGTAAATTCTTTCATATTGTATCACAACGTGAGAGATTAGATTCTATTAAATTGAAAACTATAAAGATAATGAATTAGAAACGAGGGGAATAATTATTTTAATTGCATTAAAATACGAAGTATTAGATACTCATACAATTCAAAGTTGATTTATTTATTTGTGGGTGTCAACTAACTTAATTAGTTAAAGTTTTGGGATGACACGAGATTTGAAATCATATATGTCTCGTCTACATCATTTATCCTAATGTTCTGTCCCCTCATTTACACCTAAAAAGAAAATCTCATATAATAATTGGTTTCCCTTGTATATTTTTTATTAATAAAAAAATCATTAAAATTAATCTTAAAAATCAAAATTTGCAACCTCTTTTGAGATGCTTATGAAGTACATTACAATACAAACAATATACATTCACAGGAGCGAAGGGCCAAATGTACGTAGGTAACTTTAAAAATAGGATAATGTAGTGTAACCGGTTGATCAAGATTCAAGAGGCTTTTATTTACAATAACAACATCGAATTTATAAGACTTGTACCTTATGAGAATGAGGAATTAGATTCTGCAGATCTTGTAATATGTCACCAATTCGCCTCTGTCTTTTTATACGATTCTGGGAATTATAAACAAAAGATAAACAACAGTTATATTATCAATGACTTGATGCGAATATCACTTACCCTTCACGTCAAAATAAATACTACCTCCGTCCCTGAAAGTTCGACTCACTTATTATTTATGTGGTCAAAATAAAATAACTTTGACCACATTTTATGATTTATACAATCAAAATAAATTAACAAGTTTGGTCTTATTAGATTTCCCTACTGATATTCAGATATCAACTTTTTAAAAAAAAAAATCTTATACATAGCCGAAGTTATTAATGGTCCAAGATGTTCATTAGAGACCGTGCAAATGCAAAGTGAGTCGAACTTTCAGAAACGGAGGGAGTATATAAAGACTTCAAATAAAATAAATATATAAAGATATATAATCACACCCTAGAAGCCCCAAAAATATAAGATGATCTTATAACTTTAAATGTTTATAATTTCAAAATCATTAATTTTCTTTTTTTTTTTTTGAAGAAAAATCATTAATTTTCTTAAAAGTACCTCATTTATGCCAATTAAATTAAATAAAGAGAGATGCATGATAAAAAAAAATAAAAAAAAAATAAAAACCACATATTTACATGCACTCAAAACAAGTTCTTATTATTTCTTTTCAAAGAAAAACAAGTTCTTATTATTTCTTTAAAAAAAAAAATCTTATTATATTATATATTGAACTATATAAATGTAATAATTCATAACTAAGCAACAACGAACTTAACAACATATATTCACATATAAGTTCAAGTTAGCAGGTCTACTTGTTTGTATCCTTTTTATATTTAGTGTCACATTAATTATTTAAGGACGGTCTTTCTGTTATAGTTTTATTATTTTATTTTTTGAGGAAAGTCTAGGGCTAGGACATTGGCTAACACGTAATAATTTTTACCTATGCAATTGGAATTTTTTTTTTTTTTTTTTGTTAAGAAATTATATATTAAGGAAAAAAAAATAAATTAATTTTGCGTTGTTGATCTCTCACCTTAGATACCTTCCTTGTAGCACCATGATCTCCGTTAGTTGAACATGATCGTTTGTGCTTCGTAAGCTCTTTTCCTTTAGAATTGTCACCATCAGCACTTTCTAATATTGTACCCTACACCAAAAAGTATCAACCCGAAATTAAAAATATTAAAGAAATAAATTAAGTAACAAAATATTAAATTTATCAACTATATGATTACTTACATTTGACTTTTTATAATATAATGCATGTTGAACATAAATCAATTGATCTATATAGTTTAATAGAAATTACATATAATAGTATGCTTTATATAAATAGTATTGCACTATTGCATAAGATCAAATTTTAAACTATAACTTCTTACTAAATCCCTTTTTTTTTTTACTTTTTTTTTTTTTTTTTTTTTTTTTTTGTGATAGGACACTAAATCTATTTCATCATGCTTAATGGAGTATATAAGAAAACGGTTACCTCATTTTGCAAATATATCCCATGCATAGGACGATGATCGTTATGAGATGGTAACGACATATCAATTTCAGGTTTTGAGTGACCTTGGAAAAGATTATCATCAAATAATTGATGATCTTCATCATTAATTATACGTTTTTGCTTTAAATCAGAAAAAAGTTGAAGTTTATCATCAATGTTTTCAACATCTAAGTTTGGTAAAGCAATTTTCAAATTAGTGGAAGGAGTATTGATAGTTTTAGTAGAATATGATGAGGTACTACTAGAAGCCCTAATGCATGTCACTTTTTGCTTACTATTCATGTTTATTTTGTGTTGGTAAAAACAGAATCCCAACTACGTAGTACTTCATATATATATACACCTTACAGGTTAAGATAATCCAAAATATACGTCACCTAATTCTAATAGCCAATGTCATCAAATTTAAACTATTAATATAAATTTTTTCAAAGTTGAATAAGTAAATGTTATAAGAAATAAAATATTGAGTGGTACTTGTAGGTACAAAAAATAGTTGGACAGAAGCTCAAGTTGTTGGCTAATAGAGAAATAGGAAAACCCAAAACACCAAGCAAAGCGAAAAGTTGTACGATTAGATATTATGTAGGTACAACAAATAGTTGGACAGAAGCTCAAGTTGTTGGCTAATAGAGAAATAGGAAAACCCAACACACCAAGCAAAGCGAAAAGTTGTACGATTAGATATCATGAAAATGATGATCAAGTAGATCGAACGTATGTTGCCCATTCGGGTAAAAGAAGGCTAACGAGTACTTCGTGTTTCAGGGTTTTCTGTGTCTCTCGAGAGAGTTACAACATTAAGATTGGATTTCGGGCATCTGTACCTGCAAAACAATGGAACTCCGTTTGGGTGGAGTTCTGCCTCCGATGATCAAATAAGACGTGTTCGGAAGATGTAAAAAGTGCGGAAAGAAAAGTGGGATCCTCTCGGATTCCGAGATCAGGTATATTCCTAGTGGCGAGAATTAATTATCTGCAATCATTGACTGTTCTGGTTTGTTGTGAATAATAAATGTATGTGTGTACGTGTATATCTGTGTTCCCTAGGGGGGAACTTCTCTCTATTTATAGAGTATTGGAATTCGTGCCACCATCCTAGGTTATGGAAACCTAGGAATGTCGGGTTGCGCCATTGTACGGCCTTTTCTCGGAAATTGGGCCTTGGGGCCGTCTTTTTCTCAATGATTGAAGATGTTACGTGTCAGCTGAGGATTGATTCATTTTAAATCTCTTATTGATGACACGTGTCACCATTTTATTAGGCCACGTAGCCTTGGATATTTTTACCCAAAACACTCCGTAATGAGCAAGTAGAACTTGACTAGAAGAACTTGTGCGTCGGTCCTTCAAAAGCCATACAAACTCGTTTTGTATAAATTCGATAATAACACATATGGAGTTGGAGTACATTGTACATACTCCGTATATGATACGAGTAATACGGGTTTTTTTTTTCTTCGTAAAAGAAATAGGCTAAATGGATGACTAGTTCTTCGATCAATAAACTAGTGTGGAATTCTTTAAGCTTATGTTCAAAAAAATAAAAAAAAAATAAAAAAAAAATGAGTGGAGGTAATAGCTGGAGTGGTTTAATATTATCTAATTGTCTTTTCTCTCATAGTTTATTAGTGACCTATAGTTTTCTATCTAACTCGACTTTACCTATATTTACGAGAGATCGAGCCCCACTATGTCACTTTGATAACTTAAATTCGCTTATCAAGTTGCTAAATTATAAATAAATAAATAAAAATGTTCAATCAGCATGACATCTTCGTATTTTTATTAACAATTGTGAGCTAATATTTAATAAAAAATTATTGATTCATTTACCATTTTACAGTGATAAACTTGTATTTTTACTGTGATAAAAGTATCAAATACTCATATGACATTGATTAGATTGGAGGAGCTCATAGTTTCTATCAAATGGCTAATGGCATCGCCTAACACAATATGTAAAAAATGATATTTGTTTTTCGAATTCTTGTTATGTTTGGCAACATTGTTAATTTTTAAGATGACTAGATGAGAATGGAATGATAAAGATTGCGATTTAGAGTACTTTTTGATTTTTTAACTAACTTTGAATCTATTTGTTGAAATCATCTAAAATAATGGTTTTTTTTTTTTTTTGAAAATCATAAAATAATAGTATTTAAACGTGATATATATAATATCAACTCAACCAAATTACCAAAATCTTAAACTTTATCACGCCCTTCAATTCATACAAGTATCCTTTAAATTTATATTATCAGCTTAAGTTTTTAGTTGACTTTTAATACCTATTAAGGAATCAGATCAACTAAAAACTTAAGCTGATAATTAAAGCTTAGATTAGTTTGTACGGAATATATTCTATTAGAACAATCGAATGTTTCTAAACTTATTTGAACATATTTGAACATATTTTGTTCAAATTAGATTTTAAAACCAATTACATCATATGTTATGTATTATTTCCTTTGTTTTAAGTAAATTAAATTAAATTAATTGTACCATAATGACTTTTTCACTCGCTAAATTATACCTTTGATAAATTTAATTATGTATAAATATAAATTATAAAAATTGATTGTACAAACTAATCCAATAATTTGTACTACTTGATCTAACTATTGTTTATTATACATTATTATAAATATGATCAAACTTGTATCAACCAATCAATCAATCAAAGCCTTAATTTCATAAGTGGGGCAAACTAATACTTGTATATGATCATTATTTAGAAGTCAAACTCTTACCATTCTTTTAAAGTGAATTTGATGATTTAGTGTCTGTTCTGTTCACCTTATTTTCACTTATTTCAGGTCTAATAAGTTCAGATAAGTTTAATTCAGGAAAAATAAGTTCTAATAAGAGTTACCCAATTTCTCTTGTCACAAAAAAAAAAAAAAAAAAAGTTACCCAATTTCAAATTACAACTAAAATAAGTTTTGATAAGTTTAATTAAGTTCAGATGCCTGAAAATCAGGTTACACTCTTAACGTCTCGTAAAGAGTTGCAATTTCAATTTTATCTTTAGAGTTTTGATAAGGTTAAGAGTTGCAATATTTATCAAGTAGCAACTATTTAACTTTAATTCAACCAAAAAAAAAAAAAAAAAAAAAGGTACGTTAATGTTAAACAAAATTTAAAAGAATAGAACTAGGATTTTTTTTTTTTTTTTAAGAAAAACTAGGAGTATATTTTATATGAAACAAATAAGGCAACCATGCCTTAAAAAAAAAAAAAAAAAAAAAAAAAAAAAAAAAAAAAAAAAAAAAAAAAAAAAAAACAGACGGCAACATTCATGCAGTTCGCACATGGGCTTGGGCCAGTTATACAAAGACAAAGACGATCAAGGCGACGCTCGTGGGCCTTATCTATTCTTTCTGGATTATTACACTCGACAGTCGTAGCATAGAGCCACGTGGCCCAGAGCCAGAGTCAGCTATCTGTAAACTTTGGCAAGTTTGAGCTTTTATTTACATGTGGCAAATTAGTAAGGTCTAAGCTGACAGAGTATAAAACCAATTTCTGAGTCATATCCGTCAAATCTTTTGAATGAGTTGGATTTTTGATAAGTTTGGGCTTTTACACATGGCAAATTTATTAAAATACAATGTGATATAGTATAAAAACTATTTTCGAGTGTCAAATATCAATTCTTTTGATTGAGTAGGTCTTTTAATAAGTTTGGGCTTTTGCACATAGCAAATTTAGTAAGCTATGAGGTGATATGATATAAAACCTATTTATGAGCAATAAGTCTTAGCTGTACTTGCACCATGCCCTATAAAAAGAACATTTAAATAAAAATATATATATGAACATGTCAAAAAGATGAAAATTCAATAGTAAAAATTAAACACGTAAAACATTTTTTACTAAAAAGTGAACATGTTAAATAAAATGATCATTTAGTATAGTATTAAAAATGAACATGATTATCGTATAATCATAAAATTATTAGACCACGACCTTAAAAATGAACATTTAGTAAAAAAAGAAATATTATGAACACATAAAAAAAATGAACATTTAGTAATAAAAAATGAACACGTATAAAAAATAAACATTTAGTAATAAAAAGTGAACACGTAAAAAAAATATATGAACATATAAGTATATTAAAAATGAACATTTATCACATAGAATAGCTGGATCATACCTAATATAATGACCATTTCATGAAAATATATGAACACATTAAATTAAATGAACATTTAGTATAAAAAAATAAGCATGTAAAATAATGAACACATTAAAAAAATATGATCATTTATTAAGTATATTGAGAATGAACATGATTTTCATATATTTATATAGGTTCAAATTCATTATATATAATTAAAAATGAAAAATATAGATAAAATAAATTGTTAAAATGTGTTCATTTTTTATGTACTAAATGTTCAATTTTAAAGTATTGCGTGTTGAGTTTTTTTTACAGAAATTATACACAAGTTCAATTGTAATTATTTTTACTCTAAAAATTTGAATATCCACTTTAATTCTAATATTGGTTCATTATAAAGATAATAACTATCGATGATAGATTAGGAATCACAAATGCAAAATTGATAGAAATCAAAATTTTAACATTCGCATATTTATGAAAAAAAAAATTAAAAAAAATTTAAAAAAAACTCAAAATTACCTCAAGATTCACAATCGCGACAAAAATGATGACTGTAATACCCCTAATTTTTGGACATACTTACTTAATTATTTAGTAATTTCTTCAAATTTGGAGCCAAAATAAATTTTAAATTTTGGCGCCAAAATCTTTCGAACAAATTAAATATTTTCATATTTCTAAATTAAATTATGATCTTGGTCGGTCCATATTTTATTAATTAATAATGTACGTCGTTTTGTACTTAACTATATTATTTTCCTGATTTTATCTTAATAATACTTAACAACCTTAGCCTAATTATCTTATGATTTACAACTAATTTATATTTTGATATTATCTAAAATATTTTATAGTTGTATTTTTAATGATAAACTGATTTAATTATCAAACTAATTATTTTCTTAATGATTTTCGTATATTATTATTAAAAAAAAAAAAAGGAAGATATCCCACGTACAATATTGAGGCTTAGAATTGGATGGTATTATTTTATTTTTTTCTTAAGCCTTAAGTAGCTAAATTCTAGATAATCTTAATTTCAATCCCTACTTCAACCAAATCAACACTTATCCTATTTCTCTCCTCATCTTTTCATTTAATTTCCCACATAAATTAACCTAGGCTAAATTGCATTCAAATTCACTTAACTAATCAA